AAATTTAAAATTTTATAACGTTCTGGTTCCGTGATATTAAAAACCATGTTTTTCGGTGCTTAGATGTGTTTGTTTAAAGTTAAGCACAAAGCTACACAATGGGCTATCTGTGCTCTGCCCACCACGGGTATCGAAACCCGGTTTCTAGCGTTGTAAGTCCGCAGACATACCGCTGTACCACTGGGGGGCGGTGCCTAGAATCATGATACTTTCGAAAATTACATGATTGTCCTTATTTTATAAAAGTTATAATGCTAAATTACTGACGCTTTAGTATAAATAGGCTTAAATTCAAGATGGCAACCGTACTACTTACACCTTGTTACGCTTGTTGTTGTATGTTAAACACAAAGCTACACATTTGGATATCTGTGCTCTGTCCACCACGGGTATCGAAACCCGGTTTTTAGCACTGTGAGCCTACAAACGTGCCGCTGAGGGGCGCTGATTATCAAAGCAAATTTTAAACTGTATAACCTATGTCTCGCCTGAGAGACGATCGTTAACCGGTTGATCTTAGGTGTAGTTTTATAACATTATAAAAATCAATTCAATATTTGAACTACTTAAGTTTTAATAATGGTTAATGCAAAGTTATTTAAAATTAGCTAAATTTTTAGCTCACTCTAGAAGAAGCACAACATTCATATAATTTTCATTTCAAGACAAATACAACTTTGTTTCAACTACAGATTAGTTTCCTGTAGAACGTCAATCAAGGTACTAAATGGGTGGCTGGAAAGTTTCACGGTGAAACGAAACTAGTATCACATTATCAAATCAAAAGTTATGCCAGAGATAATTGTATATTTTTATTTGTAATCTAATAACACGTGTTACATTCTACAGGCTTGTAAGTTATCCTTTATACTTTAGATTCCAACAGAGAACAACTAAATGTATAAAGCGTACTGGTGCACAAATTATGTTTGCAGAACGTGTTCATCGTATGTATCTTTCAATGCTTTTGTTTCTTGCAGTTATTTTTTGTTCGAAGAAATTGTACAGCTTGGAGTAACATTCATTTTTTACCAGAACTGCAACAAAACGAAGATTTATCGAACACAGCTACACAGTAGAGGGCGTTAATATCAGAAACTTGCTACTGCACTTCTCCAAGATCGACGACCGTTTTCATGTTCACTTTGTAGAAAACAAATTTCCTTGGATTAATAAAACTAGGTTCATTAATCTGTAAAGTTAATATTTCATATTTCACTACTTACGATAAATAAAAAGTCCTTCAACCGACAACACACACACACAAAACATTACCGGTGGTTTGTTCGTTTTGTTGTTAAGTGCAAAGCTACACAATACGCTATCTGTACTGTGCCCACCACGAGTATCGAAACCCGGTTTCTAGCAGTGTGAGCACTCAGACTTACCGATGAGAAACTGAAAGGCATTACCGGTGGAGACAGAAAAACAACAACAGGAAGTTAACGAGTCCAGAGGGGGGGGGGGATGTTTGGGGCCGTCGAAAACAAAAAACCTAAAAAAATGTTTTTGTTTAATTTTTGTTTCAGAAAATTTTTGTTCTAATTAAGTAAACAATTGTTTGTTAAAAGTTTATTATGTTTTTAATAGTCATTTTATTTTTAACGCTAATGATTTAGAAACAAAGATAAAACGTTTCATTTGGCTACAACCTTGTACAAAACACAAATAAATGGTGTTTTTGTACTAACTTCTTCATTGGTTCAAGTAACAGAAGCAAATTCTATTGAAATATATGTATATATTTTTTTCCATATTTTTAGTCTACAAATTCTATATCCATCCTAAGACTAACAGAAGTCTAATTTACAAAATTTCTCACTCACACCCACACATTCTCACTCACACATTCACCCTAAGATGTGTACATAGTATTCAATGCCGCCCCTCTATGGACCAAAGTTTAAACTAGTTTATCTCCAGGTTCAGTTTAGGTATAAATAATTTGTTGAAAGATGGTTCAAGCCATGTTTCGGGTAATCGCCGAAACGTCGTCGCCCACCGACTTCCTCATCTAAAAGATTCAATTCACCCGAGGCTGTTGGAGTCGATAATAAACCTTCTTCCATATTAGATGTTTTTCATCATATAAATAATTCGCTATGTTTTTTGTTGTTGTTAATTTTTTACACGTTGTACTTGAGAAATGTTATTCTTTCATCCAACTCCAAAACCAGCTCTAACAACTAAAAGTGAGCTAACGTGTAGACGGTGTCAAACCTACCAGCTCTATCAACTAAAGTTGAGCTAACGTGCAGACGGTGTAAAATCTACAAGTGTGTTACGTACACAGCAGTAGTACCCAGGCTAAAAGACATGACTATTTCACAAGGGAACTAACGTAGAAGGGTCTTTTAATTTTTGGTAGATATGACCACGGTCCCTGCATTTAGAACTTAGTGACGAAGAGTCTGTGCACAACATTTTAACAAATAAGAAACACACCTAGTTAACTCTGTGAAATGTGTTCCTTTCTTATCAAAATACTGAGAATTTTATGCAGTTTTCATATTTTTAGTATAAATATCAAGATACCTCAGTACAATACGCCGGTGTGAGCGCGCACTTGGAAGCTTCTATTGTAGAAGACTGCACCATACTTCCCTTTGTAGAGAGTGGAAATATGGGGGCAGAGAATTTCCCCAGAGATGTTCAGGGACAGAGATACCTCCTCATCCACTAAGGAAAGGGGATCTAGGGTTTAAGAACACTCGAGGGATGGAAAGTAGTATCTGTGAATTTTTTATAAGTTAAGGGAGAGAGGAAAAAAGCGAGAAAGAGAAGAGAGACTTGCTTCAACAAACGGCTTTATGCGTTGGACTGACCAATCGATTGGATTTTAGTTGATTTACGTCAAATATAGCACACGGTAAAGGTCAAACTTTTATAACGATAGAACACTAAGCGCTCGGAATGTAGTCTACGTTTAAGCATAAAAACGAGAAAACGATGGTTTTCCAGAAATATGGTGCACAGCAAGCTTCAAAATAACCTGCAACTATTTCATACGAGTAGAATGCTCTTAATTAAATTAATAACATACTTACAATAATTATTCTGATCGTAAGAATGATTACTGCTGTTAATGAAGAAGGTGCCAGAAAAGTTCGCTCTCACTCGATTACTGCTTCGTTAGGTTTTCAATCATTTCTAATAAACACAAGTAATAACTTAGAAAATATTATACCAAACAATTAACATTTTTTGAGATAAAATTAATTTCTTAGACTCAACAGGAGACTATATTAATGTGTGAGAATCGATAAATAATCGAATCAAGGTCACATATCTCACTGTTGTTTAGAAACTGATATACTGTGAAAAACACTATTCTGGCAATTTATACAGTACAACGTGGTCTAACAGTTGGGCAAGGTCACGCGGAGATGAAAGACCCTGTCATGAATGATGGGAGCTATCCATCTGTGTTGAAATCTGATAATGCTGTTGACAACAAGATCTGATGTATGCTCTTTGCACATATAAATCTTCAACTTAGGATTAATACTTTTTCCTGTATTTAAAAAAGTTTTATCATATTTTACCGTTAATATGCTGTTAAGTCTCCAGTGGAATGGGCTATCCATTGAAAGTTACCATGTATGTTTAGTGTAAGTTATCATTACGTGATATTTTTTACTTTAAATAATTTCTCTCAATTCTACGAAAGATATATCGATCATTATAAGACTGTACCTAGATAAACTTTATTCATTCTGTAACCAACCTACCAAGACATCAACATATCAATAATAAATAGGAATCGCTTGTTCTTAATCATTAAATAAACATTTTCTATATTCTATAATAATAAACTTACAGTTTTACGTAGAGCGAAACAGACTGCATTGTGTTCATCAAAAACTAATAACAATTTTTTTGATATTAGTGAAAGACAAAACAAAAACAAAAGCTCAAAATCAATTTTCCAGTGAGACTTTGCGTGTTTTATAATTTAACCACCTTGTATTTAAATTGATCTTAGAACTGTATGTACATCTACTTTAAAATGAAGATACTTTTCAAATTTCAAGTACATACTGTGGTTAGTATCATTTGATCCATGATACCAGTTCTTGCTACCTTTGGAACTATATTTCATTAATGTCCATCACGTTCGGTCCAAAAGCCACGATTATACAATTGTACCTACAATGAAACTTCCATTACAACCAATTTCTGCAAAGAATTATGAGGTCAATCTTAAAACATGCATCTTAACACACTTTCCATAAACACTGTGACGTGCATCACATTGGAAGACTTTCCACAAACCCCCCAATGCACATTGGCTTCCAAGGCTATGTCTAAGAAGACCAAAGGCACAAAAGCTAATTGCAGGATGTGGTTGAATGACATTATTGAGATTCTAGATTATTTGGCCATTTTTCTTGTGAAAATAGCCACTGATTTAAAGATGCGACTTTAAAGCTTGTCTTATTAAAGGAGAAAGGAATATGTCTAGCTTCAACCCAACGTCTTTTTTGCAAGTGAGAACACTGCTTCCAATTGGCTTGTGATCCTAAATGTTGTTTTGTGAATTTTCTGCTTCCGTGGAGACCATTAAAAATTATCTTCTTCAAAATGTTGCATCCTTTGGCTCTATACCATTTAACAAACTGCTATACAAATGGACTGTGATATGTTCATCCAGCTATAAGTCCACCACGGCAGCACTGCATTGTTCAATCATAAATAATTTGCTGTAAACCAAATATATAGACAAAAATTTGTCTGCAGTGACATTAAACTGTATTAGCATTTGCAAATGTTTTTACAAAATGCAATTAATTATCTGTAACATCTACTTTAGTTGCTCAAGTGTAATTAATGTTGGGTTAACACAATAAGAACTCTGATGACCAAAAAAAAAAAATCACCAATAATGTCAGTTAAGTACCAAAGCATTCCATCAAGGCAAACTTAACTTTTTCTTCTATATTCACTCCCAGTATTGAGGTTTTCAAATATATAAACAATAGAAAATGAACTTGTAAATGTAAAAAGAAAATAGATGTGTTTATTGAAAAGACAATTATACAAATATTTTTTGTTTTTTGACTATATATTCAGAGTGACCTTACTCAAAATCTTTGAGTTTCATAAAATACAGCTCTTAGCATAACACACAAAACCCATTCCATAATGGTGCATATTGACTGGCTACTCTTATACCTGTAGAATATAGATTTAAATAGACTGTTCAAAAACATGACTTACGTGCATAAACAACAACCAGATTTCTTACTGTAACCAACATTCCTTAACTCCTAAGAAGTAATGAATTAACCTAAAAATAAGCATATACTGTATCTTTTCTTTAGATGTAATGTATTCAGTATTCATACTTGAAATATTCTAGCAAAGAAAACAGAAAAATAACATATAATGAGGTTACTTACAACAAGATACATAACATTTAATGAGGTTAATTATAACAGAATACATAACCACTGCGTACCTCATATTGATAATGAAGTTAAAAATGAACAAGAACAAATTTGACAGAAGAAACAATTCATGGGTACTCTGAAGTTCCTGAGAGATTTTAAAAATTAGTTTTCTTTTAATGGTATTCTTGAACACTGTCACGTTTTTTCCCAATTAAAGAACTATTTTTCAAACACCAAAATTGACCTAAATTATAATATGATTCAAAAGCTTTAACAACTGAATGGGTTTATTTCTTTTTCTCTCCAAATCCTAGTTTGCTATTTTTCATATATGATTTCTGAATTTTATTAGGATTTTATTCTACAATAAAATGAAAAATAAAATCACTCATCCTTTATTAAATCACATTCTGTGTTCTGCACACCAACGATTATAAAAAAACAACATATGCCACTACAAGTCTATCATGTTTAACTAAAATGTTTTTTGGTATTCTCAATATTTACTAAAAAATATAAAAAATGGATCACTATTGTCATCACACTTCCAATAAAACGTTTTACTTGGTCTTGTAATCTCAACTTGTATTCATATATATAGATGCACATGTATATGTCTTTTAGTTCTTACTTTTTCCTGGAATAATCTTAATTACGCTACCTGTGAAATTCTGAATCAAATGTAATATTCTGTCATTACCTGAAGTCTGGATAAATTGAAATATTTTATATTCCCATATGGTTAATTTAAAATTTCTTCCGGCAATTCTTCAAGCCTTAAATTGCATCCAGTGTAAGCACCATTCTTCACACAGTGCATCAGGAGCTCATTCCAATTAGAATCCTGAAATTTTATAAACCATAAATATCCACCATCATATAAAACAACACGTAAAACCTATTCAAATATGGCTATTATACTGCTGTGACACCAAAAAATATTAATCATTTTAGGTAACTTTTTAACATTCCTAAAAACAATATTCCAATAATTTCCTTGCAGATATGACAGGAAATACTCATGAGTTGACAATAACATTACTGTGGTACGATTTTATAAAAAAATGACAAAAATCTTATACTTTGGTAACACCAAAATCCTAGTTATATTACGATAACAATGCATATATGCATCAAATATTCAACTAGTATTTACCTTGATAACATGTAAGGCATTTCAAGGTCCTTGATAAATAGTTCAAACAGCACGAGACAGATTTTAGAAGAAATCTTTTAACCATATTTTCTAAACAGCATTAGTTTTCTCAAAACAATCTCATTAAATCAATACAACTTACAAATCTATCATTAAACAAAATGGCAGTTTTGTTAAAAAAGGTAAAGAAGAAACAAAACTACTGTAGTTATTTCTGTTTAGATAGTTTGCTCATTATATATAAAATATCCATGCTTATTTCTCTTCTCCAGAAATAGCAAATGTTTTGCTTAATCCTCAATATTATGCACTTCTAAAGTATCCCCAATTTTTGTCCAGTAATTTAAAAAATGGTGCAGATATTCTTTTCTTTATTGATATGAATGTGAAGAGGAAGGTTAAGTGTGAACATTTTTGCAAAGTCTGATTGTCAAAAATGTGCTTTAAAATAGCTTTCAAAATAACTTTTATTCTGCCATTATTCACTGCTAAAAATCATCTACTCCAAAAAACAATGAACATCAGACCTAGATGCTTGCATTACAAGCACATAAGAACCTGAGACAGCAGATCCTTACTTTATCTCTTGCAAATTTCAAGATACACACTAACCATAACACAAGTGGAATGAAGCAATGAATCCAACCTGTATCTAGTTAGCTCAGACAGTTGCATACCTCCATTTTAGTTTTAAATAAATATTTCTTCTTGAAAGTATGCCACATCAGTGGTGAATGAGAATAAACATCAATTAATAAAAATATAAAATACCCTCTTTCCCTTTTCATCTAGTCACTCTCCAGTTCCATAGAGATCATTCATTACACATAGCTCAGCTCAGAACAAGTTTCATCTGGTGTCACTACTCCTTCCATCTCTTAATCACATTGTCAGCCTAAAAGGTAACAAACTTTCCAATCCCGTGTAATTCATTTGATAATGTGTGTGAGATTAGCAGTATCCTGATCTGAATATTACTTCCCTGTTTGAGTTGCTTCCATTTAAGAGTCTAGTCCAAATATAACAATTACAGTTTAAGTGTCTTAGGTAACACACAAAAATATGTGAAATCTATCCAAAAACACTTGAGAAAAAAAACAAGCCAAAATTCAGCTTTAGCACAAACAGTAGTTGATATCTCATAAACACAGCTTAGCATTACTCACATTGTAGCATTTTATTCATGTGCAGTAAAACTGACTAAAAATTCAATTTGGCTCATAATTTACCTTAGAATAACAAGTTGCACTGAACAAAATGTGACATGGTGAATACGGAGCGATCTTCAATGTAAATTTAGTTTCAGAACACATGAATAAAATGATGCAATGTTAGTAATGCAAAATTGTTTTACTTTGCAGTGTTTACAAGACTTCACTTACTGTTTGAGCTAAAGCAAAAATTTTCTTTTTCACTCGTGTGTTTTCAGAAGGATATTTAGTATTAAAAAAGTACTTAAGACTTGATTTTGAAGTAAGGTAAAACTTCATCATTCATACATTACAGAAATTTCTATTAGTTCAATGGCTAGGAAACCATTACCATATAATCATATAGTCATGTCATTATCTACCGGCAGTAGTTGGTCAAAATAGATGATGACCTTACATGCAATTATATACATGCCTTTGCAAGATATTTTTCTTTTCTCCTGACAAAGTATCAATGAAAAACAGTCAAGTTCATTACAAATGTGTTTTTAATTGCACATTTGCTATTTTAGTTTTAGTTTTTTTTCTGTGCTACAATTTCAGGAACATTTGTGATAAATCTTATTGGAAGCTCTAATCAGATTTATTATCACTCAGTTTGAATATAAAACTGATTGGTTAAGGTCAAAATCACCAAGGGTCAATCATGATCAGCCATTTCTGTAAATTATTCATAACCTTGATTTAACAATTCAAAATAGAAGCACTTTTAATGAAGATTTTGAATGAAAATGTGATATTTAAAAAAAAATAATCACGATTAAATGTACAAAGAAGCAATTACCTTTGATAAAAGAAGTGGGTCACCAACTACCACTAGGAGTCCTTGGGCTCGGGTTACAGCAACATTGAAACGCTTTGGATTACTTAAAAAACCCAGATTATGCAAGCTGTCAAACTCCACATACTCTTCACAAGCTCTAACCTATACAAGATGAGGAGGAAATTATGTTTATGACTTATTATCCAAGTTTAAATGAAAATAAACTGATCCCACATACATTATGGAATTTAATAATATTTGTAATTAAGTACAGAGCTACACAATGGGCTATCTGTGCTCTGCCCACCATGGGAATCGAAACCCGGTTTCTAGCATTGTAAGTCATAAACACACCACTGTGCCACTGGGGGAGCATTTAATAATGTAAAACATTTAGATTTTTGCTGACAATTTCTGCCTCAGTGGTTCAAAAATCTGCTTCTAAGCCTTGTCAGAAATGTTTTCTTTCAATATATTCATGAAGCAGCAAGTTATATAACCTTATTACCTTAAAGTAGTAAATCATGTATTATAAGCTGTAGTGTGTTGTCTGCATAAGGTTCTGTGTCTGTTAAAAGAGTAAAGTAACTACACACAACATCATCGATAAAATAATGACTATAACTTCATAATTTCATCAATATCTACATTGAAAGTAAATTGATCCTACATCATGGGTTTTAATTTAGTATTTGAACAGCTTAAAAATAAAATGATTTGCACTTTGTTTAGGAACTCATAACACGAAGGTTGAAAAATCTGCTCTTAAATCAGCCCCCCCCCCCCCCCACCTTATTAGAAATGCTTCCTTTCATTTTAATCATGGAGCACAAATCTATTCAACCTTTGACACTTCAAAACATTAATCATCAATTTACAACTTGTAATATCTAAATAAGGAACTACAGGCTAATATAATAAAGTAACCACATTAAAGAACACAGTGGTTAATTAACATCACATAATCACCCTGTTGTGGAGATGAAGAACTTCATATATCAAACTTAATGAAAATGATTATCAGAGTCAAAGATATACATTATTTAGTTACACATTGGTAAGTAAGTTATCTAACTCATAATGGTGAATCAAGTAATAGTACCCGAAAATATTATATAATTAGTTCAAAAGAAATTTTGAAAAAAACATACATAAATAATGAAGTCTTAACTTCTATATTTTTCAAAATGTAACAAGTGTTTTTTTCTAATTTACCAAACTCAGTAAAATATTCATTAAATCATATTAGCTTATTTTTGCCTTGTCTTTTTTTAATAAATTGGAATTTGTAATTTATATACCAGTGTATTTTTATAACTGAATTTTTCTTATCTAAAATTAGGTGACTAATATAATGTAAAAACATATTTAATGATACATAAAAAATTGGAGCAGAAAAATGAAAAGGTATAAGTACTGAAATTAACACAACTCTTTGTTATTTATTTCAAAAAGTTCAGTGTGATTCTCAACAATAAAAGATGTAACATAAAAACAATTCCGGTAGTTCTAAGTGAACTATTAGGTAGTGAAGAGTACATAAATGTTATTAGGAGTAAAATCAGTTCTCATGAAACATTATTAATGTAAACCTAAAAATCATACCGTGGAAATAATAATGGCAAGACGTTCTTGACCTTGAAATTCTTCAACAGAACCAACTTTACAATATTCCACAGCCAGACTACTGAAAAATGTTTTAATCTTTTCTACCTAAAAACAAGATCAATTATATTTTTTACATATGAAGTGTAAAAAAAGTTTTACAAATTTCTTCAGTAAGTTTTTGCTTACAACAAATTAAGAAATGTTTTATAGAATTTTTTTCTAGAATTATATAATAAATACCTGTTTTTTAAGAAGTTTACTCTATTGTTCATATGGATCACTACTCCTGAACTTCTTAGATCATTATGATTTCTTTAATCAAATCATAATTTTATTGTTTTATTTCATTACACTAAAAATCGCCTTTTCTTTAATTAGCTATTCCACTTTGATCAATAAGAAATTAAACACTTGATATATTTATAGATTTATTCAACCACGTATCAAAACATAAGCATTTTTTGTTTACGTCCAAAGATATAAGCATATACTTATATCTAATACAGGGTTAAAAACAAAGTTTAATTTTACACACTGCATTCCAACCTGCTTACGATACGGAGTGATGACACCAACATCATCTGGTTTTAGTCCAAACCTATACAGAGATTGAACATACTTGACGACCTGTACAACCTCAGCAGGATTAAACCAAGATGGACTGTTTCCCTCTCGCATATCTGAACCCTACAAACACAAAACTGTAACTATATCACATACGATCAAGTTATCATTTTTCTTTTACAATATTTGTTATATCTTTATGTCTGCAGTTTCATATTTAATGTTTAGACTTTTCTAAGCATTTGTTACATTTCTTTTTATGTGTTATTAGTTTCACAGTTAGTTTTATTGCTTTTGTATAGCGTTGTTAGTTTTCATTATATCTGTACAATGTTATTTATTTCCCACTTAGTTTTTGTTAGGTCTTTTCATACAGTGTTATTGGTTTACTATTACAAACTGTTTAGTAACAGTTTGTTACTTACAAGTAGCTTCAAGGCTGTATGTACTTCTTTTGCACACTTATGTCAACTTCTTATTTACAAAATGTGTTTGGTTATCCATTTTACAGTTTTCTGTTTCCCTCTTTCTGTGCTTGTTATGTCCCTGAAGTAATCTCAACATATTCAATAATAAAAGTTTTTAGATTAAAAATAAATGACTCTTTATCTGTAGTCTTGATTTTCATAAAGAACAAACACCACCAAGTTTCCAAATTGACCACTGTTAGAGAAAAAGCTTTAAGAAAAAACGTTTTATTGTTAAAAAAATAAAATACAAACTACAAACATCACATTGAACATATAGTGTAACAAAAAGATATTTTTATGCAAACTTATAGCTATTTACTAAAAATAAAATACAAAGATGAGCAATAAAGCCTTCTAACAAAGTAGATATCTATAATTACTTGTCTTTTTTACTTTTAGTTCCATCATGAACAAATATAGTACTTACAGCTATTATTTAAACTACAAGAAAGGCAAATGTCTACCTTTACTCCATGAAATACAATGGGAAATCCTGTTTTTGGTAAACCATCCCAGTAACACAGACTTTTTCGCTGATCTTTAGATGCACAACAAACAAGTTCATTGTGATAAAATAATCGAGAAGGAAGACTCAATATGGCTGAATGAGATCGATAGTTGTTTACTAACTTGGTAACCTAATTGTACAAACACCAAAGGGTGAAATTATTACTACTTTAAAATAAAAAAGTATAAATTAAGCTTTAATGTATAATATCCATTATAATAGTAGATCCAAGGAACAGTATTGCAAATAGTAAATATGTCAACTTTTATCAATGCATTTAAAATACATGAAAAAAAAAACGTTTTAACTACTTTCAGTACATATGAAAGTAAATAGGAAAAACAGAAAATTTCCATTGGTCAGTTAATCTTAATATAGTTTCATACTTTATAAGCATACTTAAAAAAAGGTGGAAAGCAGTTCCAAGGTTTGATTATGTAAAACATTTCTATTAAGTAAATAAAATATTTTTTTAAATACTTGAAATTTCAAGAATACTTAGTAGATTTTTTACACAAATATAGCTATTACAAATTCACTAAAAATCTACAGTTTGATCAGTCAGTTGCTGTTTGCTTGGAGGAAATCTTTATACAGTAAATTTATTCATGTTCTTCAAATTTTTTCCAACAACTCAGACAACTAAAATATACTACATTTATATTTAGTCCAATTTTTCAAAGAGGAGGCTATTTGAAGAACTTCTATAGTTTAGTTTTCATGATAGATTACTGACACATGCTTTCTGTTACTTTTATCTTAAGTAGGTTACAGGTGGAGATAGCTTTACTGTTCAGAAAAAAAAAAAAAGCACATACATACTACTGTCAGTTGCTAAAACCTGTTCAATCTACTACCTTGAACATAATTAAGTCATACAGTGCATTTCTGGATTAAAATTTAAAGTTAATAATTAAATGTGTTACAAACTCATCTCAAAGAACTGGGTGAACCTTAAAATTACAAAAATTTCTAGAACTTTTTTGATTAATATGGGGAAAAAAACTCAATGAACTAGTTAAAATGATTACAATTAATGGGTCATAGTTCCCATGATCAGCAAACTTCTCTTCATCTCTCGAGTACACGGGTCGGTCCATAAACCTTTCTAATAGGGAAATCTGTAAGCCATATAACTGAGCATATCTGGACCGTAAAACTGGTCCCAATTGTAAAGGATCTCCAGCTAATATTACCTGAAAATAAACCTTTTAAGCTTCAGAGCTATGCATTTAAAGAATTCATTATAACTTAAAGAGAGTGCACAAAACTAATAAGATTTGCTATAAAAGTATTTAAAGTGTGAATGTCCATCATGTTTAAGCACTTCAAAATAGCCTAAATTGTTAGTAGACTTTACCTAATGTTTATTGGACACTTACATACATGTACTGAAAACTGCCAGAGGAGATAGAATTCAACAACATTTACTGTGTGACATATGCTTTCAATATCTCAAGTACATATGGCAAGATTACTAATGAAAAGCTACTTGTAAACTGAACTAGATCATATTTTCTGTGTCATAGATTTTACAATGCACATTACTACAATATCCAAGTTATATTAGATATACCAACAGTGATAAAATTAATGCAGATATAAAGACAACCAATTTAAAAATTGAAAACACACTTATTAATGCAGAGAGTAAAAAAATAACAATAAGCATGCAACATAACAAAAAAAAAAGACTTTAGTTCTAAATTAATTTCATTACAGCTGTGGCTGTATTAAAACAAACAAATCTCTTTTGTGCATTTTTATAAGTACCAATTTGATAACAGAGCAAAACCCACATTAAAATCTGGAGCCTTATTTTTTCACTACAACGTCGTTAACACTAACACCCTAGTCAAACCTTAAATTGATATGTCTCACCTGACCATCTCCAAGAACTGCCAGGTTGATGGGAACCAAACACTCTGGTTCAGTAGCTTGACCTGCCTGGAAGAAAGCACTTACTGATGTTTCTAACATATTGAATATGCTTGACTGCCTTTTCCATAAACATAAATCACTGCTACAAAACCCGTAAATCATTGATGTCTTCTATTTTTCACACAAAAATATTAAAGTTTTTATCTAAAAACCTAGGAATAGTTTGAATGCTAAAACCTTCCAAATTTCTATATAGTAATAATAGCAACTCCTACTCCCAAACATACATTCTAAACTACTTTTAATAAACTCTGGTATTTTTCAAAATTACTTAAGCCCACTAGAAAATGCTAATTTTATTTTCACAGCACTAAATATGTAGGTGAAATTATTTACCAAGTTTTAATTGTATACAATGAGAAGTTCCACATATATTAAAATTTACATTTTGTTTTGTAACTACACTTTCTCAATTATTTGACAGAAGAGTAATAACTTGTCAGTTTTTCCTAACAATTTCAATATGTAATGTACACACAATATATACACAACAATGCTTGCAATGTATAGTGACGTATGGCCATCTGTTATCACAAAGACCGAGCGTGCCATCTGGTATTGCTAACAATCAAAAATACAGTCAACACAGATACAAGAACTTTATAGCTCAATTTATTCTTTGGTACACTAACAGCTGTTCATGCAAATAAACATTCTCATGAATAATTGAAAAAAGAATCCTAAATATGACTCTTCTTGTACTGGTTGTCCTTCACTTTACACAGATTATGAAAATTTATTGGCCCTACTTATCAGGGACTAACCACAAATAAAAATATGCTCGTACTAAACTCTTTTTTTAAAATATTTTTACATAAGTAGCTTTTTCATGATGAAGCAAGATTCTGAGAAAGTTTCCAAAGATTGTAAATAATAAATAAGTCAACCTTGCATAAAAGAAACTGAAACTGAAAAAATACTAAAAATATAAGTATATGTTAAGAACCAGTCTCTTTAGGAACAAATACAATTACCAAAGATCGTGAAAATGATACACATATCAATGTACAGGAGTTCAAAGAAAGGGCCACGATCAGTAAGTGTTAGAAAATAATCAGTCTAACAGTTTTAATCAACAGAACAGAAAAAAAGGAAATTTAATAAAGTTAAGAAAGCTAGTTTTAACAACAAAGGTGAATAGTACTTCTTTGTAAATGAAGAAAGACTATAAAAAATTCAAATATTATAGTAAAAACCATTTAAATATAAACATTTTGAGAGACTGGAATAATAAATTTTATCTATTATTCATTATCATGAGCATTAAGAACTTCAAAATAAGAATATCTGTTTATAGTAATGTGTTAAAATAATCTGATCTTGTCATGATGATTCATTTCTATTGATATACAGTCTGCTCTTTATCCCACAGTGCATATCTTTATATTATATATATATAGTGTACAGAAAACATTACCCATTATTAAACAATTCACTACTTCAGGTTTAAAACAAACTACTGTCATGATAGCTAAACATTTGGTTCTGATCACTTGCTACACTCATATATATAAATATTTATATACGTCTTTCTTTAATGATTGACTGAGAAAGATTATATATTTGGTCTCTCTGTGTTTTCACTTTTTGCATCTGAATTTCTTAGTAAGAATTTGTGTCTGTGTATATAAACTCCCCCTCCTCTCTCTCTCTTTCACACACACACAAAAGTGAATGCAGTAAATTATAACTTACAGCAAAATTATCCACCCTGAACAATGATCAAACAATAGCATGAGGCCCTATGTATTAGTACAGAACTGTAAAGACAAACAACATACTTCATCAACAAAAACATGAGTAAAATGTGATGTTGTTAGACCCAGGCTGTAGAAATTTCCTGCTGTAGTACATGTGCTAATAACAATGCGGTGATGGGAGAGTAGGTCAAGATCATTACTATTTTTACAATATATTCTGATTTCTTCTGGAATGTTCTAGAATAAAAAAGAACAGCTTCTGTTAGTTACTTATTTTTACATCTCATTTTTTATAACAGTGATAGTAAAATATATATAATTCTTTAGTATTTTTGAAAATTAATACTTTCTTTAAGTAAGCAATATTTTAGAGGTATATGTAATTCTCACCTTCAATAGATAAAAACCATTTACATGTATCGTTCAAAAAATGTACGAAACTCATAACATTCAACGTAAATTTAAATTAGATTTGATATTAAATGAAAGTAACACAAAAATCTAAAAAAAACTGAAAACCTCCAGTTAATTTGACTTTTGATGTTGACATTGACTTCATACCATGTATGATGTAAACTAGATGGCTAATTTCAAATTCCCAAAAAATTAAACATAAATACATGGAAACTGTGATGATCACTAACTTTAAGCTGGCAGAGAGTTACTTATTGTTACTGTGTTTGTTTTTATTGCATAATATTTTTCCTGTGTTATGATTCTAAAATGCAGTTAAGATGACAAAATATTACAAACCTAAATACTGTTAATAAAATACACTGATAATCAAATATATCTTTAAAAATAAAGAAAATATGAACAATCACACAAATGACACAACTATCCAATCTTATTTGCTGAATTAAGTTTGTTAATGGCATAAATCACAAGATTCATGAAAAGTAGAAGAAAAGTTTTTTAACATCCTCCCCCAAATACAAAAAGAAAAGAAGAAAAAGAGAGGAACTGTTATAAAATTAATTAACTATTATAATCCCCATGAAAATTCTCAGTACAAATATTTAGTTTATGTGTTTGGACTTGGTACTTGATTAAAACTGGATGTTTCTTTTAGGACATTGTGTATATAACTTTACACTTTTTTGTTTTAAATATATATATTAAATTTGTGTTATTAGTTCTAATTCAATACTGAACTTTTGTTAGTTTCAAAATTATATTGAACCTGAGTTTGTTAAGCAAAATTGTAATAGAGAATCTTGTTATATATATATATCAAATGACCTATGTTGTTAGTTTTTGTAATTAATGACGGTGAACAAGGTATTTTATTACACACTACATCAAACCCCAGATTTTAGCATTGTAAGTTCGTAGACTTACTAACTTTATAATCAGGAGAAATATGCAAGTTTCCATTGATTTTTTATTTCATCATTATTTCATAGAAACAGACACTGATTTCAAATAAATTCAAGATTAGCATCCAAATTTTTCTACTTAATTAGCTAACATTAGCATCAGCATGGTATCTTTATATCTGGGATATCAGGCTTTTTTGGTTTTATATTACTCAAGAAACAGAGATTTTCCTTGATTTTGTTAAGTAGACCTCTACCAATAAATTTGCTTGACTCTTACCTCTTCAATCCTCTGGAAAGCATTTAAACGAGCCAAATCCACTGCTTGAACCCTTTTACTTTCATGTATTCTTAAGGTCTGCAATATAAATCCACATTTGTAAGTTTCACATTATTTACTGTAATACAATTTCAGAAAAAAATTTGCAAACTTAGAAACTATGTGTTGTACAAGTGTATATTTTGAAGAATAAGTTATCAGCCAATACGGTTCAGTCAGTTTTTATTTTGTATTTTACATAATAGATGTAATTAACAATATGAACCAATGGCAACTACTTCTTTTCATTTCTGAAAATTTTGATAATTAAAATGCAAGGAACAGCTATCTTCCTAATTAAAAAAATAAATACATTTTCAGAATCATGCATAAAACAGTAGTTTGCGTGTTTGTGTTTTCTTATAAGCAAAGCCACATTGGGCTATCTGCTGTGTCCACCGAGGAGAATCGAACCCCTGATTTTATCATTGTAAATCCAAAGACTTTCCACTGTCCCACTGGGGACAAACAGTAGTGATGCACTTTTTGCACACTTTACAAGAGCCAACACACAAATTTTTTACTAATGTTTTCTATGGATTTTATTTTAAATACTTTTCTTTTACTTATAAATTCAAATTCAATTTACCATCTTACCTGATGCTTGATTAACATAACATTTTATAAACCTACTACATATATTAAAGTGCTGTGTACTAATTACTAATTTCAAAATAACTGAAATATAAAACAACTTAACATGGGATATAAAAGAAAATGCAACACAGACATCAGTGCTTCATAAGAGTTCATTCAGCATAATTTTTAGCTGTTTTCAAAATTTTACAGGCTATCTCCAGAATTTTAAATATCAAAGTAACTACATTAACGAGCTTTGAATCATGGATTAGCTCTTGCTTACCAGTGTATCTTTATTGGACCAAATTATCATAATTTAATTACCTAACTACATTAATCTGCTGTTGTTTTTTTAATGCAATCTTTGCATATTTCTAACTTGAAACTGTTTTGTTCTTGCTGACCTTACTTAACATTTTTAATGATAGCTTTAAGTACTCACAATTAAATCAGCAGCACTGTTAGAAGGAGTACAGGCAATTATCCGACTAGAGGGAACATTCAAATAAATTTGTAATATAGCTTCCACCACTGTAACTGTCTTTCCTGTACCTGGAGGTCCAAATATAATGTAAGGGGTTGGACGACATTGACCGCTCACTATTCGTTTCACTGCTGCCTTCTGTCTTTCATTTAAGGTCTTGTTTACCCAGGTTAATCTCTTTCCACTGACATTATTTGAGAGCAAAGTCTTTCTTGCATTTCTTACTTGATAATCCTTTGCAGATGTTGGAGTTAGATGTGATATTACAGGTCCACAAGTATTTTGAATTACATTTAAGGCAGATAATTCAGAGATTTTTGGGTTTTTATCATCAGCTGTTAAAATGCTGTTACTATTGAAGTTTTTTGACATTTTATTTAATAATTTTTGAGGACTGTCTTCTTGGCTTGAATTTTTACTTGAATCTTCTATTAGTTGGACTTGTGGGTTCTTCAGATGAAGTACTGAGGGAAATAATACTGAAAAAGAAAAATTTAGTTATAATCAAAAACTAACTAGATAACTATTGATTTTATAATTGTGCTTTCCTGATTTTTTTTCATTTTGAAGAAAACTTCTTAGAAACCGTAACAGCAAAAATTCAAGCTGGTTTTTTTTATAAGCTTTTGTTCAATCAATAATGACATCACTAAAAACTGAATTACGTGAGAAGGCAGGGAGAAACTTTCTGTAAGGTCTCGGAAACTCTTGAAATTTGACTTGTGGGAAATGCATACATTTCCTGCCTTAACAACCTTATCAACAAATATGTTAACCCATATAATCAAAACTGTGTGTGTGTGTATATATTTTGTTCTTTGTTCTTTTCTTCTTTTTAAATGTGTTCCTTTTCTTTCAACCCAAAATGGGCACTACTTTCTCATGAAAGAAAACAAAGAGCATAGACAGGTAAATCATATCATGTAGTTTCAAACACACTTGAATCAATTACTTTAACTAAACAGGAAACAGGAAATTAATTGAGTTAACTTTTGAAGAAATAATACATTTCTCAAAGATACACTGGGGAGAGATATGCATGTCTTTCACACACTGTTTATATCTGAATGACTATCCTACATCCTTCCTACAGGAAATAATTATATTTTCAGTAACTAATACGATTTCCACAAATACCTTCAGACATTGAAACTTTTCAATGTACAGTCCTACATTTATGTAGACCACGACAACCTCAAAGAAGGATTTCTAGTAAGATTTTTATACTTATTCAGAAAAAGAAAAATGGCTAGCCACCATGGATCAGCCCCCGTATAATAATTCTTTAAACAATAATGCCTGTACACTATAAGTTTTCAAGCTAACATTATCAGTTCTTCTCAGAAAGACACATTATTACAAACTAACACAAATATTTGATTCAAACAACACTCCATGTTTAAAAATAATAATAATAATAGCATAATAATTCTTCATATAAATATACCTATATATTATTAATTTTTCACTGTATGTTAGCATCTCTTCTCACTTTGAAACATCTTTACATACCAATAAGAATGCTTCGACTACCATCTACACATCCCATCACTATAACAAAATCACTTAAAAATTCATCTAAACAAACCTTGTGATAGTAATCTATGTACTACACGACATTTTCAAAATGTTCATTAATCACTTTTACATAATTGCAAAGTAGCTCTTACTTGGATCAACACAGCAAATATAAATCTATTAAAACTGACTCAAAACAATCTTTACAAAAATAAAAAATTTTTTTGGTGAAGAGAATAGTGTCTAGTAATTTATAGAAATCAAAAACCATAAGAAAGATATAGAGAAGTTCATAAAATATTCTTATAAGATTCTTAAAAATTAACAAAAAATGAATGACAAAACCAAATAGTTTTGTATGTGAGTATAACCTGTTACGTATTAGAATTTTGAATGGTCTGAAACTGAGCTAAATGATAGTTTAAATTTAGTAGTTAAATTGTACTTTGGATTTAGTATTTAAATATGATATTTGCCAACAAGATTGATACACACAGTATTCTTTTTTAACACAAATACGTTTTAATATACACACAACAATACAATTTACAAAAACAGTTATTACAAACAATGATTTATAAACACAAGTTTCACAAATTTACAAGCAATATAAAGTCTTCCTTTTAATCTGGACCTTCTTCGATATCTTATTGAGGGTTAATGATGAGCGAGTTGATTACGAGTTGACGTAGGTATATTTCACTTAACAATAAGCTAGCTAGCTTTGTATATCAGCCACTTACACTGGGTTTTCTACTGTGACATTACGTAACGTTTTCGTAAAAATACTAATGTCCGATGAGAATTCACTGAAGTTAAATGAGTTTTAATATTCAAACTTTGTAAATTCTCCTGGTCAAATATCTGAAGTTTTCCAATTGATAAGCATTATAACAATCACAGTTATAGTTTCCAAAGTTTATAGCAAACTAATAATAGATACTCTCCTTCGGTGCATCATGTTAGTTATATTTATAAGTGTGTGGAGGCTTTCTAGAAATTTCAGTTTTACTTAACAATACTGAGCTACATTTAAGCATTTACGAATATACATATATTGTTGATTCTTACTCTCAAGAATCTTCTACAACTTTGGAGAATAGGTGGGAGTTTCGCAATACATATTTAACACTAAAAGCTATGCATGTTTTAAAACATAAACTTAATCTATACAAACGTTGATATTAAGATAAATATATAATATCAAATTCGTTACAAACCTCTCAGTTTCAGAAAATCATATCTTTATCTTTGTTTGTGGAATGTGCAACTAATTGGTTTATTAAACAAGAAGATGAAAGATTTGAAATTTGTATTTAAAGGTATTAAATCTAAATTGTCACTGTTATAATCCACACACAGCATAAAGTGTGGGGGGGGGGGCGCACCTTAAAACATTTAAAACTAATTTCAAAATTAATATTTGCTGGTTACTGTAACAAAAACAATACTATACGTACATTTTGGTTATTTGTTTGAATTATGTTATTTTTTCCTGTTTTACTGACATTAAAAGTAGAGCAACTTACAGTTATTTGACTTTTAGTAATACAAATATTATTGCGAGTATAAAGAAGTTGTATATCCTATTTTTTAGAAAAGAAATATTACTTTAAACTATAAGTCTACATACTAGTACACTTTCTGAACAAAACTCAAAGCTGATCACCTTATAATAACAGTCCAATAAATTATGAGGCTATTGTTAAACATGCACATTTGTGTCTTTTAAACTTTTTCATTCTCCTTATACCTTTGAGTATAGAAGTATCTATGAATATTTAGAACTGCTAATTTTGGGCAGGAAAGTAATTCTGTGTTTCATCTTAAATAAGAGCTTAATTTCTGAACTAGTGCTAAAAATTTGAAGGGAAGTGGTACCTACCATTAGCTGGTAGTTCGGATATCATGAAAACAGCTTGATGACACCTTCTGAGAGCAGTTCTTAATGAGAAAACATCTGATTAGTTATATCAAAAATTAAAAACCATAATGAAGGCATAAACAAGTACATAGGAAATTCTTATAAGATTCTTAAAACATCTGATAGAAAAAAATGACAAAATAAAATAGTTTTGTAGGTAAGAGGAATACACAGATAATTGGCTCAAAGAACAAGAAAATTAAAGAAAAAAACTCTAGTGAAAGAGTTGAATTTTGTATTTGTTTTTATGGCAAAGCTACTAAGGCTACCTGCCACCGCAGCTTAAATCTCACTAAGAGAAATTTCTAATAGCTTATTAAAGCTTACCATGCTTATACTAAATATATATGGGTATAAACCTAAAAAAACAACATTGTAAAAGAAACACAAGTTATTCCTATCCACTGTAATACTAAACAAGTAAGAAAAGAAAGTTGTTCTAGAAAGTCTTACTGCCAAGTATAAAACAGTTTAAAATTTCTATGCTCTTCAGCAATAACAAAATCTTTAAAATCAAAATGGTGGCTGTAAATGAGGAAAAAAAAATGGAATTACAAATTTAATTTAAATAGCATTTTTAAACTGCAATTTTTCTACCTTAAATATTGCATGAACTTAGAGAAGAAACAGCAACAGAGCTATTGACTGATCCAATAATAATCATAAAATGATGATATTGTTTTAAAACAGCAGAAAAATCATTGCTAATGGAGTGTAAGTTTTACTTTTTAAATTTGTTTTAAAATTCAGTTAACTTCTACAAATATTGATTGTATTATTTTTGGATACATCTTTTTAATACTTGAAGATATTTTAGGTTGCTTACAGAACTAGGTTTAACAAATAGATTACCATGATATACTAACTTTCAGTTCAACTATTTTATGTTTGTCAACTGCACTGAAGACATTACCTGAGAATATTTTACACCATTATGAAGTACAATAATTATTTGTGTAATAAAATTAGAAGAGAAATTAATATTACTCTTCATTCTGACCAGTTTTCTTGGATATTACTGGAATGAAAAAGTGAATAAATATTTTTCCTTCTCACCTACTCAAAGCAAACGACACGTTGTATACTTCATCATTATAGTTTGAATGGAAAGAGCTGTGAAACTTTAGCAACACTTCATCTTTTAAAACCTATCATACAGTGGGTGAAGAGAAAAAGTTAAAATATTCTATTTATAAACAAGTTAAAATATACATTGTTTTATCTTAGGCCAAAATACACTATTAACTTTTAAAAAACTTTTAGTTCATGAACACAACCTTACATGGATTAATCTGCTCGATTTAAAGTGGGGCTCATGAAATGAAAAAAAAAAGAGGAAGAAATTTGGGTAATTACACACATTTATGAAAAGTTTTACTAAGTTAATCCTTATGTTAGGAAAGCCATGTCTACAGGTTGTTATAAAAGTCATTTTCCATTATAACATTGAGGAATTTAACAATGTTTTTCTTGTTTCTTTACAGTTTTTTTTAGATAAGCATTGATTAATGTATGCAAAGTGAACAGTATCCAGTTAAAGGACAGACATTTGTAAACATGTATAGACATTCAGCCTATGGCAACTGACTTCTGGAACAACCTGTATTATTGTTAGGATAGTACTAAGCTTCCCTAAATTTAAAGCAGAAGTAAAAAAATCTGTACTTTCCAAAACTTTAAAAAGCCATTTATGCCTATCAATTATAAAGATTAACTTACATACATATATGGTTTGTATAATAAGTTTGTAATTATATGTTACTCTTCAACACTTAATATGGCAAATACATTGCAAATGATGCAAGCATAACAAAATTCATTGCATAACTTTATGAAAAACATGTCATTTTAGTGGAAGAAGGTACTCTTCATTCATTAGTATAACTTGTACTAAAATTATGCAAACATACATTGAAACAAATGATTATATGCTATAATTTCTCAATGAAAAAATTAAAATTTAAGCTCAAAATTGCAGAAGTTTGTAGAGTTTATTATAAACATTTATATAAATTAATAAATATTTCACTCAAAGAGTAAAGTTCTCATCCATTTCCACAGGGAGGAAGGAGCCAATGTTTGGCCCCAACGGTTATGGTAAATTAATCCCTGCCTGTCACATGTTATGTGCATTACATGAATGATTAATGAATCCATCAAATAAAATATGAATCTCATTGAACAACTTAATTTTCAGACTAATCTTATAAAACAAGAACAGTATATCTTATCATTTTTCTGATTTATAATAAAATTTTAATGCTGTTAAATTTAAATTCCAGTTCTAGAAATTCAGGTACTATGAAATATTAATTGAAACAAGAGAAATAAAAAATTGAGAATTGGAAAACCTGCAAATAGAGATCTTAAAAATTTAAGGAAATAAGGCTGGAGATATTGTAGACATCATATACTCATAATACAAACCCCTATTTTGGCTCCATGCTGTTACCTAGAATTACATTTGGTGGAGTCAAAATAGGGATTTGTAGTTTGAGTAAATAATGTCTACAGTATATTCAGCTTTGTTTCCTTACTTTTCTTTTCAACAATCTTAATTTTTAGGTTTTTAAATTCCCAATATTTTATTTATCTTATTTGCTGACTTTTTTATGCTCAACTAAGGGCAAAGGATTAATTGATATGGTGATTAACTTTATACATTGTAATGATAATAAGCATAGCTAGTAGCTAGATGATACAGTTTATGATAATTTACTGTAGCTATTGACTATCTGATCGCATTAGTTCAAGATGTAAAAAGTTAAGCTGCAGCTGGAGATTTCTTTGAGAATTTAGTCAGCATTTACAGTTTCTGTGTAACAATGGGCAAATATATGCCTAGACTAAGACACAACCCCCACTAAGTGGGAGAAAAACATTTTACCAGTAGAAAAGCAGAATTTTCAAATAAAACATATATGTCTCAAAAATTACTTTGAATAAGTTATCATATCTTTTCAAGTAATTACTCTACAAATGTGTGTAATAAAATTTAATATTATGTATATTGAATTTTTTTTACTCATTCACTTCGTATATAATATAGGGCTTGGCTCCCTAAACACACTAACTGTATAGTGTACAAAGCATTCTCTATCTACATGTTACAATCATCTATTATTGGCTGGTAATTCCTGTTTCACACTGTACTTAAGCTTTTTAAAAGAGCACCAGATATTTGTAAGAAAGCTAACTTCAAGAGGGTAATGATAACATTGTTTACACAATAATTATGATGTTTTTAGCTTATGTAAAATATAGAAGAAACAAATCAACTTTTCAATACCCCTACGACCTTTGCAGTACCTTATTTATTATTATACCAAAGGTTTGGGTGCCATATACCAAGCCCTTTTTGTTGTAGACTGGCAAGAGAATAATAATGATAAGAAGAGGAAGAAAAAGAATTATAGACAGGCCATTTTGAGTGATTTTCTTTTCCTTGCAAGTCTAACATGCATACTTTTTTGTGCATTTTTATGTGTGTACAGCCTTAGCAGTCAATAGTAAAGGTTTTAAAGTGTTATTTGAACTGATTCTTTACTGATTAAGGTGCTTTTTGCCCAAACGTTCTATTATGGTTTTGTGCAATTCCTTGCAATCCCTATTATGATTTGCTATCATGGTTCATGATAAAACCCATAAGAGATGGAATTCTATCAAGATCAAAGGAAATGTTTAACTTACTACACCTTCTAATATACAGGGTGGAGCAAAAATGATCCAACAATTGTTTCATTTAGAACATTGTTTAATTTGCAATATCTTATTCCAATAAGTTGGCAAACAATGATTTATAAGCAGAGTGAAGTGATTTATTTTTTGGGAAAAGTACATGTTTTGACAGAACATGTAGTACATTCTTTCAAAAATAAGTCACTTCATTATGCTTATTATTTTCCCACTTATTATTATATTAACATAACATGTTTCCATACTCATCTAACATCTTACTCTGAAACAAAAGATTACTATATTGGTTTCAATTGTACTTTTAAAATTTTCTTTCATTCCAACCACATAATAACAATTGTATGGTAATTTTTGTCCCATCCTGTATATAATCTACAAGCTGAAGGCCTATCACACGATGGGAAAAAATAATTAATTTTTCTTCACAAAATTATACCTAAATAAATGTTTTTTGACTATGTTTTCTACAAATTAATTATAATCTAGTAATAATATACGTATGGAGAATGACTATCCTATTTCTAGTATTTCATGAAAACAATATTTTTTATGTATATTTGGTCATCTCCTTTAAGTAGATTAGCATTTTGACTTCTGTATAATTTTAAGTTATGCTCAAATGTTCTTCCTGACAAATCGTTAGAGATTGAAACATGCGAAAAACCTGATTTTCAAAGATATATTCCTACTTTGTCAACTGTATGACCCTGCAAATTATTAATTGTAATGGTAAAGGCAGTGAATTCTATTACAAATTTCAGTGTCTTCTCTTTGGACTATCTTCCTGGTTTTGGCTTTGTTAGTCTGCCAAGCTGAAGAAGCATGCTTTAATTTGGGCATTTTCAAAATGTATATGTGGTGCAGAGTTATAGAGTTGTAGCCAAGGGTTCTGAATGGACAAAATTTGATGATGTTGCATCAAGGTGTCTCCTTGACAACCAAGCAAACATAATGGGGAATTTCAGTCAGGGATTATGATTTTTGTGCACCAGAAATACCAAGTGTGGGGGTACCCGATTCAATTTTATTACTCATCACAATCTCTACCAACCTATCCCGGAATCTAATTATATGCCCAAAGTAACACATCTTCCATTTTTGGTTGGAAGAATTTAAAAAAAAAACTTGCTTGTCGCAACAAAAAAGAGCCATCATTTCATGCAAGTTGCTTGTTGATCGATACCACAACTGCTGATATATCAGCATGACAGACGGATAGCTTTTCATCTTTATATAGTAGATTCTGTGTGAAATGAAATTTTTTATTGTCTATTCTTGAAAAACTTTGTTTTTAAAAACTCATGAAAATAGCTAGAACTGTTTTATTGCAATTACTTTTAGCCAGTTGGTTGGCTTACATGAATGATCCCCGAGTTTTATGAAGCTATGGAACCCTCTTACTTCATTTCTTCTGTCACAGAACCCCAACCCTTAATCCATCCTTAAAGCCTAGCCAAGATGAAAGTGACCATGTCTGTAACATTAATGTAGAATTGTAAACTATATGGAGAAGACTGAATATCAACTAACTCACAATTTAATAAATAGATTCATTCCCTGATAGGTTAACACTCAATAATTGAAAAAAAAACACTATTACCTGTTTCTTTGTAAGAAACCCCTGGGGTTCCACGGAACATAGCTTGAAAACCACTGACTTTCATTTGAAGTTGAACAACTTAAAGCTTCACATTTTATCAATGTTGTAACTAAAAGCACACAGGTGTATCCTCTGCTAGATATATCATATCTAGTGTTACAAAATTTATAAAATTCTTAATGTGTGCTTGAAATTGTATAGCACACTGACCGATCCACAAATAAATTAAGGATGCAGTGAACCTCTACATTAAAAGTACTGAATGTCTTATCCAGAAAGTTCTAAGTGTAAAAAATATTCAAGCACAAAGAGTACTTTAAACATTGGATTTTGTCTACTAACATTGAACTGGCTAAATCTAAAAATACAATATATTATGAGATCCTCCAACCAAAAACTATACGTTGAAACCTTTCACAAACAAAAATCATAAACTATTTTAACACAAATATGTTTAGCTTCTAAACATTAATTTTTAAAATACTCTATCTGAGAACATAATAAGTGCAACTTAAAAACAAACTTTAATGGTGACAACAGGCCTGTTTTCACTCCACCGTCAATGATATTTGAAGTGAACTTTGTTTATTTATATAATCTTTTGAATTGGTAGATTACCTCATGCACAAAACCTTCATATAACAACTCTTCTTCAAGAACTGGTGATGACAAGATAACCTTGTCCCCTAAGAGAACAGATGGCCGTCCTTCTGCTAAACCAGGAACATGTAAAGCTAAGTATTCCTTGCAACGTCTCAAGGGGGCCTAACAAAATCATTTATAGAAGAATATGTCAAGTGTCAATACAACACATTCTAACAAATATAATTCACTTTATTCACAAATATTTTAACTGAGAATAGGATTACTTCTTCTTCTTTCCTTATATGTAAAATCTGCAAGTAAATCCATGATTGGAAATTTAACTTTGACATTATCCAAGACAATTTGTTATTAATTTAATCTTTAAACTTACTACAATGTTACTACATGAACTTCTTTTCTGTCATAAGAAAAAATTATCTCTCTTTCTCATACAATAAATATGGCAACTTCCTTGTAGTACAGTACAAACAAAGCATTTTCCTTAGTCAGTAATAAAGACGTTTTCCTTAATCTATAAAAAATGAGCATCTTTCTTGCATTAACCACAAAAAGGTACTATCCTAACATTGTACTACAAAACAGCATCTTCCTGTCTTGAACATCAAAAACAAAGACAGAACAGCTTCCCTCCTCTACAGTATAAATTTCATTGATATAGAAGAAACTGATTAAGTTTATATAAATGATTAATTCTTTCAACCACTGAAAGTTACAATGAGAAGATTCTACACATTAGCCTACCTCTTTAATGTCAAATTCTTCCATATCAAGTTGCATCTGAATTTCTTCCAAATGCAAAAGAGTTGAGAATTTATCAGCATAGTTCTCCTTAGCAAGTTTCTGAAACATTCCATTATTACCAATTATAAAAAAATTACTGTTTCAAACAATACATGATTTGTTAAAGACTGTCAATCTAACTTATAATGTGTTAACCTGTATGTCTGTATTGTGAAAAAACAAAAAATTAACCACTATAATTTCTGTAAACAATTTCTGAACACAATATTTTATATTGTAATATAGAAGGTTGAGTAGGTTATTTTAAAACAATTCTTAATCTGCAAATCATGTCACAACCACTGCGAATATAAAGTCACAGTGGAATAGCATGTATCAGAACAGTGTAACAACTTTTTGATGCAAAATAGTCATACACTCAAATCATAAAGATGTATCCAAATCTAAGATTTAGAATTTCCTAAATCGAGATATCTTATGTATTTAATAGCAGTGGAAAACAAAATAATATGGATCAACTTGGAGAATCAGGACTATCAAGAAAGAGATCTGCAAGAAATCTTATCTCAGCCACAGTAAGCAAAGTGTGGAGTCTTGTAACAAGCGAGAATCGATGAATGGAAAAGTCAATGGTAAAAGCTGTCCATGTACCCCAGGCAACAATATCCAATATAATCAAGAATGATCTCCATCTTAAAAAGCAGCACAAGTCACATGTACACAAGATTTATCCATTCAACTGTTGCATACTTCAAGCAGCTGGAAGATATAATGGGTATTCTTGTTAATCTATACTGGAGAAAAGCATCTACGAATTTATGTGCAATGAAATATGAAAAGCATGTAGGAAGGAGAATTGCACTTTGATGTGATGGCGTTACAAGAGAGACTTTATGGAAACTACACTGAGAGCTGTTGTCATCATATACAGCATAACCAGATATGATAATACGGTTTGAAGACAGCTTGAATGGATAAAGAAAAAAAGTTTATTACAAATTTAACATAACAACAAATGTACAGTGTTAAGGCAGGGTTTTGTTATCATCAGATACAAGTAATTTACATAGACATAGGAATATATACACAGTAAGAAACAAAGAAGTCACATGACTAAAGACTGCTTAACAGCTTACTAAAGGTATCTTGGCACACTGCTTTGTTCAATGTTTGTTTCTTTGTTTAAAATTATAGATTTTAATAGATATAATATGTTTTTTTTGAGTTGTTATGGTGATAAATATGGGAGGGTTTTTACTATGTTAAATAAATCAGGTTTCCAATCTTTTTCCATTTTCTCCAATGTAGAATTCTGAGCAGTTATTACACATTATTTTATAAACAATGTTGTTATTGTGTGATTTTATATAATTTTTATTTAGGTTTTGAGTAAATTTGAAGCAAACAAAAATTTTATGCTTAATGGCAAGTTGTGTCTAAGCGTGCTATTTTTGAACTGGAATAAATTGTAAATTGCATTGTAATGTTTTGTTCTTGGTTGGTTCATTACTATTCATTTTGTTTGTGAGTTGAGTTTTGAGGTTTTTGTTGTGGTAGTTTGTGAGAATTTTTCAACAATAATTAGTGGGGAAATCTGTTGTTGTATATGAAGGAACACTTTACAAGGTTGATTTCTTCATCTATGTTGTCAGTTCAACAGAGTCTTGAATCGGTGTCAATAAGGTTTTTAGTGTATTGATTTTTTTTGTTTGGTTTCATGGGTGAAATTCCAGAGGATGTAAAGGCCTGTATGAGTGTTTTTACAGTGAAATTTGGTTTTGATCTGCATGTCAGATCTATTAATGTAAATGTTACAAAAAAACTTCTTGTTGCATTTGTGTTCAACAGTGAATTTAATGTTTGGGTGAATAGAGTTTATGAGTTCAAAGAAAGTTTGCACATGTTTGGTAAAAGTGAAATCAGCAAAGGGGACATAGAAATATCTGTATTAGTATATGGAGGAATGTGTGAAGCATGGAGTTTTATGGCCAGTTTTTAATTTGAGTCATAAATAACCACATATGGCAACATGGGTTGTAATAAAATAAGACTCCAAAATAATGAAAATCTGTATCAATAAAAGGCTTGACCCATTTTCAAGATTATTTTAAATCTAATTTTAGTGACTAACCAAAAATAATATTAAGAAAAGATTTGAAAGCCACATTGTTTACCAAGTTACTCACTGCTGAATGACTCACATAATAATAATAATAAAATATTTCACTCATTTTGCTTCCTTCATTCAAAACCTGTAATTTTGTTACAGTTTGGATTTGACTTTGTCAACATTAATTTCTTTCTTTAAACTTTTGATAATAATAAGTAGTTGCTGTAGCAATATGTAAGTTACCTTGAAATGAAAGTTAAATTATTTAATTTAAGTTTATGAATTTTATTTTGTGTGTACAGTTTACATAACAGTGAAATTTATTATATCTTTAGTAAGCTTTAAGTAGCAGTTTAAAAGGCATTCAAATCAATCACATCAAAAATAGTTATGTCAAATTTTCTCACTTTTTTATAATTTCATTTTTACTTTTTCAAAAGAATATTTATTTTTCTATTGCTATGGCTGATGACCATTGTATTCACAACTGTATAGCAATTATTTCATTCTATTCAACTGACTTAATAGCTTCAAATTTAAGTTTATGTCGAGACAACGTCAAATGTTTTTGCATTAATAATTTAATTTGAGTCTCACCTTCATCCTTATAATCTTAAAGTGTCAAAATTTCAGTGACTGAAAGCATTTTAATGGGAACAGATTTAAAAATATGTCCAGAAAAGTCTGCAAAATAAAGAGATATTACACTTATCAAAGAAAATGGCTTTTAAAGAAGATGATGATATTTTGTATAAAAGTTATAATTTATTTTCTGAAGTTGGCATTTCAGGTTTCATCATAGCTATAGAAAATAAAACTCTCTTAATAGCACAGTAAAATCTTAGATGCTAGTAGGTATCATAAAAAAGGTTCCATGCTGTTACCTAGAATTACATTTGGTGGAACCAAAATAGAGATTTGCAGTTTGAGTAAATAATGTCTACAGTATCTCCAGCCTTGTTTTCTTACTTTTTTTATGATCCCTATTTGCAGGTTTTTAAATTCCCAATTTTTTATTTATCTTCTTTGCTGGCTTTTTTTACGCTTGACTAAGGGCAAAGGATTACTTGATATGGTAACTAACTTAATTCACTGTAATGATAATAAGCATAGCTAGTAGCTAGCTGAACCAATTCATGATGATTTACTATAGCTACTGACTATCTGATCACATTAGTTTGAGATGTAAAATGTTAAGCTGCAGCTGGAGATTGTCATGGAGATTTGTTTGAGAATACAGTCAGCATTTATAATTTATATGTAACTAAATTCTCTGTATATAATGCATAACAATGGGCAAATATATGCCTAGATTAAGACACAACCCCCACTAAGCACGTATAAAGTAACTAAATTCTCTGTATATAATGCATAACAATGAGCAAATATATACCTAGACTAAGACACAACCCCCACAAAGCATGCATAAAGTTTTACCAGTAGAAAAGCAGTCTTTTCAAAGAAAACATACACATCTAAAACATTGCTTTAAATAAGCCTTCATGTCTACATATGTGTGTAATAAAATTTAATATTATGGGTATTGAAATTTTTTTTATTCCTTTGCTTGATATATAATATAAGGGTTCATGATAGTTCACACACTATATACACATAAACCCACACACTATATATAT